CTCGCTGCAGTCATCACTCGACTGTGCCCCTATGTCCCCAGACCTCCCAGCTGGGGGTGCACACAGCTGGTGGTCCTGAGGACAAGGACCCTTTAAAAGTCCTAGTCCAGCCGGAGCCGAGGCTCAACAGGCTAATCCTCCGCCTAGCGGCGCCGGCACACCGGGTTCTAGTCCCGGTTGGGGCGCCGGATTCTGCCCCGGTTGCCCCTCTTCCAGGCCAGCTCTCTGCTGTGGCCAGGGAGTGCAGTGGAGGATGGCCCAAGTGCTTGGGCCCTGCACCCCATGGGAGACCAGGAGAAGCACTGGGCTCCTGACTTTGAATCAGCGCGGTGCGCCGGCCGCAGTGCTCCGGCCAGCCGGCCGCGGCAGCCGTTGGAGGGTGAACCAACAGCAAAGGAAGACCTTTCTCTCTGTCTCTCTCTCTCTCACTGTCCACTCTGCCTGTCAAAAAAAAAAAAAAAAGTCCTAGTCCACCAGTGGCTCCCCACTCAAGGCACCACTGTGGGTCTGAGGGTCAGACCTGCCACACAGAATGTACGTGCCAGGCGTGTGTTCAGAAGCAAGGTGTGGCTCGAGAATTGGAGAGCTGAACCAGACAGTGTGCTGTGTAGCTTTAAAATCTTTTCATAATTGGTGATCATTAGTTTCTGGGCCTTTGTGTCACCTGCAATGTCAGCTCCCCTTGCTGAAGTGCAGGTGTAATTCTAGAACTTCCCAGGATATCAGGAACTTTTAATTCAAGACTCCCAACAATGATCTATTGAGTGATGTCATCCTTTGCATACCTGTCTCCCATAGCTGGAGGGTCTTTATGTTAAGTATGATTTGACCATGTACCCTCAGGGAACTTTCTGATCATTTGCAGAAAAATTAGCATTATGAAAATTTCTCCTAAGTGTAGGCTGTGGTGATGGTTGCACAACTCTGCGAATATACTGAAAACTGCAAAATTGTGCCCTTTAAATGAGAGGCTGTTATGGTACATGACTTAGATCTAAGGAAAGCTGTGAACATTTTTTGATGTTGACATTAAAAGGTAGCTATCTTTTTGTAAAAAAAAAAAAAAAAAAAAAAGGCGAGGTAACAAAAAACACACTCTGCGCTCAGACAGATTTTTGGTTTGAAGTGTGGGGTACAAAGCATGAGCTCCTGGCCACACGATGGCCAGCAGGAGCCTCGTGGGGCTGGGAGCACCTTAGTCTGGCTGGGCTGGGTCCTGAACTGCACACACTGGCCTTACATTTAGCACCTCCTACCCGACCCAGAGGCAGTGAGGAAGACAGAAATAGCTCGATGCCAAAATCGCCCTTTGGCCATTTTAAAAAGAGAACCGTCTCAGAAAGCACAGTGTGCATGCGTCTCTCCAGAACCCCTGCACCTTAATACGCAAGAGTAGGCAGCGTATCCCGTGTGCAGGAACGGACCCCATACAGGAATGCTAAATATGACTTATGAAACCATGGACTTAAATACCATTTAATTTTGGACCGAGTGTGTGTTGATGAGTTTCAGTGAGGTAGATGTTTGCGGGAGGGAATCCTATTTATTGTTAAAGAATGTAGCATGCATTTCATTGAAATCTAATCATTCATTCAGCTTTACTCTATTGACTGGAATGTGGCTTCAGTACTTGCAGCCAAGGTGTCCTGTGAGGTTCATTTCTGGGGAGATGTCTAACCTGGTCCTACCTTTCTTCCTGGAAAAATAAACCTTATTTTAGCCCCTGCAGTATCCAACGAGGGGCCACATTGCCCTGTGCCAGGAAGGAGCCTGTCAGTCAGTCAGGTCATCTGGGTTCCATGCCCAGCTCCGGACAAGTCAGCTTCCTCAGGCTTCTGTTTCAGAAGGCCAGAGAAGGCAGTTGGGAGATTTGATTGACAGCTATGCAGGAGCGCTTGGCCCAATGCCTGGCACCACAGTGGGTTCTTGAGAAGATTAGCTCCTGCTGTGATCTGAACCTGTATGCCCCCTGAAATTCAAATGTCAGAATCCTTATCTCCAAGGTGATGGGTCAGGAGTGACCCTTTGGGGAGTGATTTAAGCCAAGAGGACAGAATCCCTGTGAGTGGTTATTAGTGCCTTTATAAAGATGAAGGGTGGAGTGTGTAACTGGCCCAGTGTGTGTCTGGTCTATGAAGAAGGGAGCCCCCACTAGATGCCCCATCTGCTGACCCCTTGATCTTGAACTTCCCCGCCTCCAGAGTCATGAAAAATAGGTTTCTGTTCCTTGCAGGCTGCCCAGTGTGTGGTGCTGCTTCAGTAGCCAACCAGACCAAGACAGTTACTGTGCCTGAAGCCCCATCCCTTGGCCATGACCCATTCTGCCACTTCCTTCCATTAACCACAGATTCATGGCCAGTCCATTGTATACACATCCAGTGAAGTACGACCACGTGCCAAATGCAGTGAGAAATACAAAGAGCACCAGCCTGTGTCTTTTTTTTTTTTTAAGATTTTATTGATTTTATTTGAAAGGATTACACAGAGAGAGGAGAGGGAGAGAGAGAGAGAGGTCTTCTATCTGCTGGTTCACTCCCTAATTGGCCACAACAGCTAGAGCTACACTGATCTGAAGCCAGGTTCTAGGAGCTTCCTCCAGGTCTCCCACATGGGTGCAGGGGCCTAAGGACTTGGGCCATCTTCTACTGCTTTCCCAGGGCATAGCAGAGAGCTGGATCAGAAGTGGAGCAGCCAGGACTTGAACCGGCACCCTTATGGGTTTCCAGTGCTTCAGGCCAGGACGTTAACCCACTGTGCCACAGCGCCGGCCCCCAGCCTTGTGTCTTTATCAGCACACGCACATGACTTATGATGTAGACCTGAATGAGGGTGGCCCAGAGCTGGGAGCACTTCTGCCAGGGACCAGGACAACGGGAGGTGGGGCTGGAGCTGTGAGGACAGCAGGGAGCGAGGGTGCAGGATGGAGGTGGGGAGGGATGGGCACCCGCAAGGCAGGAAAGTGGAGGATGAAGGTTCACAGTCACAAACACTGGAGTGCCAGAGTTCAGAAAGGCAGAACCACCATGATGATGATTTCTTGTATTTGGAAAAACATTAATTTTGAAGCACAGATATAGAAAATGAAGCAAAACAAAATCTCCTTGGCTTGTCAGCCTGTATTAAAGATATGAATTCAGGTGGCCAAGAGGCATGAGATGGCTTTATTCTCACTGTTGTAAAAGTGGTGCTTAGTCACAGCTCTGGTCCAAGGCGTGTGGAGCAGTGGGAAGTGGAAGCAGAGGCCTGACCCTGTCCCCGCCTGCAAGTTCTATGCCAAGCGAAGGGGTGCACAGAGATGGGAGCCTCGGCTGTCCCAAGGTGGTTGGTTTGTTACACTGACTTTTCTGTATAGCATTGCTTCAGTGAAAGCTGCCTCCTGGAAGCAGGGGCAAAGTGAACCCCAGTAGTGGGTTGCATGGCCAGGGGTGTGGCCCAGGCCCCATAAGCATCTGTGTCACAAGGGCCAAGGGCTGAGCCAAGCTTTCCAGAAGCAAGAGGGGAGCCGTTTTTTCTCCACCTGTGCCAGGAAGGCCACACCTCTGCTGGCATGCAGCCTGGGGGCCTTCCACGATGCCCCCTCAGTCTATATCCCCTAAAAAATAGTATCTGAGAGTGGTTCTAAAATTTTATCTGAGAAGCAGAGACACCCAGAGACAGAGAGGGAGACAACATGCACTCACATCTGGTTCACTCACCAAATACCTGAAACAGCCAGGGACTGAAGTTGTGAACCAGTTCAACCCAGGTCTCCCATGTGGGTGACAGAGACCCAGTTACTTGAACCATCACTGATGTCTCCCAGGTTCTGCATTAGCAGGAAGTTGGAGTCGAGAACAAGAGCCAGGCCAGGGCCGCGGATCACTAAGCTGATCCTCCGCCTGCCAGTTGGGGTGCCGGTTCTGTCCCAGTTGCTCCTCTTCCAGTCCAGCTCTCTGCTGTGGCCCAGGAAGGCAGTGGAGGATGGCCCAGATCCTTGGGCCCTGCACCCACATGGGAGACCAGGAGGAAGCACCTGGCTCCTGGCTTCAGATCGGCGCAGTGCACCGGCCTTACCGGCCACTTGAGGGGTGAACCAACGGAAAAGGAAGACCTTTCTCTCTGTCTCTCTCTCTGTCTAACTCTGCCTGTCAAAAAAAAAACAAAAAACAAAAACAAAAAACAGAGCCAGGGATTGAATCCAGGCGCTCCAATGTAGCACGTGGGCATCCTAATTGGAGTTTCAACCACTAGACTAAATGACTGCCCCGCAAGTATTTTTTTTTATTTTAAATTATTTATTTGCACTTTATTTGAAAGGCACAGATAGTTGGATAGATATCTTCCATCCACTGGTTCACTCCCCAAATGCACATAGTAATAAGGACTGGGTCAGGCCAAACCCAGGAGCTGGAAACTCAGTCTGGGTCTTCCATCTGGGTGGCAGGGACCCAAGTACTTGAGCCATCATTTGCTGCCTCTCAGAGTGTACATCAGCAAGAATCTGGACCAGAAGTGGAGAAGTCAGGACTCTAACCAGGCACTCTAGTATGGGATTGAATGTCCCATGAAGCAGGATCTTAACCACCATCAAACCCCTCCCAGAAATGTTTTTTTCTTTCTTTTTTTAAAGATTTTTTTTTGCTTTTGTTTTTTAAAGACATATTTATTTTACTCGAATGACAGAGTTACAGAGAAGGAAAAAGAAAGAGAGAGAGAGGTCTTCCATCAGAGGGTTCAATCTCCAGAGAGCTGGATCGGGCAGGAGCTGCGCCGATCCAAAGTCAGGAGCCAGGAGCTACCTCTGGGTCTCCCACGTGGGTGCAGGGGCCCAAGCACTTGGGCCATCTTCCACTGCTTTCCCAGGCCACAGCAGAGAGCTGGATTGGAAGAGGAGCAGCTGAGATACTAACTGGCACCCATATGGGATGCTGGCAACACAGGAAGAGGCTTAATCTACTATGCCACAGTTCTGGCCCCACAAAAGTGTTTTCTTAACATGCCTCTTTTTTCTTTTTGAACAGGAATTTTTGCCTACATGAACTACAGAGTCCCCCGGACAAGAAAGGAGATTTTTGAAACCCTTATCAAGGGTCTGCAGCGGCTTGAGTACAGGGGTTACGACTCGGCAGGTAGGGCGGCGCCACGGGTCACTTTGCTACGCTGCTTTTCAACGTTTCTTTTCAATGTAACAATAACTCTTGCTCATTGAAGAAGTCTGAAAACTGTAGAAAAGCAGCCAAAATAATAACCTGTAGACGACCATAGAAAAAGAAGAACAGGGAGGGAAAAGAACTCCACTGAAATCACACCGCCGTAAAAAAAAACCAGGGAGGTGTTTGTGAAAGAGCCCAAAGTTTCAGTTTCGCAGGACACGTGATCCTACAGGGGGATCTGCCTGCACTCGGTAATACTGTACAGAACCCCTAGCAGCGTGCAGAGAGCCTAGAACCTCTGTTAAAGAGCACGCATGCGCACGCACACACGTACACGCACATGCGCGCGCGCGCACACCAAGGACCTGAGACAGGAGGAGGCTCTTGGAGCTGAGCAGCGCTCTCACAGATCCGCAAGTGTCTTCATCCAACCGAGCAAGCTGCGCACATTCAAACACGCCTCAGCAATGTAGCTTTATCTCCGGGCCCCTCCATAGTTGTGTTTTTACCCAATCCTAATTCTGCAACTTTCCAATTTTATATTCTTAGTTTTTCACTGATCTTAGCATTTCCACATCCCAAACTCTTCCGAAACATCGAAGTGGCTGCACAGCCCTCCCTGGGTGGCCGTCTCCGGGTTTCTTCCTCCATCCACAAGCTGGTGGATATCCAGTTGTTCCCGTTTTTAATGAAACAGCCTGTGAAGGAAGGGAAAAGCAGCTCAGGCTCTGGGAAGCCAGTCAGCCAGAGGTCGTGGGCACACCCCTGCAGTGCGGGATAAGGACCCCTCTCTCAGGTAGAGGTAGTGATGGGCGTGTGGACACCTGTCCTGCCCTGGGAAGCCGCCCGCTGTGTGTGCCCAATTAGCACCCCTTGGCAGAAGCTGCAGGGGACAGCCACAGCCCAGGGATCCAGGCCCAGGTTCCAGTAGTCACGCCCCATCATGCAAAGCAGATTTCCTGAGAACTACATTAAGCTCCCTTTGGCTGCACAGCGGGGTGCATTCTGAGGAATGCCCCAGGGCGTTCTAGAGAACTGGCCCACACACCGCATAGGTCAGTCAAGGGCCCGGGCCTCAGAGGAGGCTGCAGTGGGCTCTACGCAGCATGCCAGTTGCCTTGACCTTCCTGTTTGTAATGAGGACTAGCAACGACAAAAAGTACGGTAAATAAAGCAGCAGAGTCGCTGAGTGGCATTGTCAAGTGTGCCATCCTGCACATGACTGTGTGGGCTGTGCTTTCCCGCGGGGGCACTGTGGTCGGGGTGTTCACACCGCATGCTCCCACACTCCAAGGAGCGCGTGTGCCGCGTGGGCCAAGGTGGCTGTGGTGCCGCCGGGCAGCAGTAATCTTTCAGCTCCCCTGGGACCACCGCCGTAGATGTGGCCTGTCACTGCCGGAGGCACCAGTGTGTGGGGTGTGGCCGTGGTGTCTCTGGGCCTGCACACCCGGGACACCTGCAGCCGACACACAAGGCACTGCCTACCCCTAACCGTGGGTGGAGCCTGGGAATGAAAGGCGTGAGCCGCGGTGTGCAAACGAATGTTTCAACTCCAGGTGTGGCGATCGATGGAAATAATCACGAAGTGAAAGAAAGACACATCCAGCTGGTCAAGAAGAGAGGCAAGGTGAAGGCCCTGGACGAGGAACTGTACAGTAAGTGACAGGGCTTGGGGGAGGAGGGGACCAGCAGCCCAGAGAAGGAGACGCGTGGGCGGGCGCAGAGGAGGGGCGGAGCCGCCATCCTGAAACTGCTCGCAGAATGGGGGACGGCCTATTTTAGGCAGTAGCGTCTGGGCAAATTTTTGAAAATTTTAATACAGGAATTAAAGTGTTTATTTTCATTCTTCTGCAAAACGATACTGCTTTCTATTGATAGTAGTGGTGCATCTTTTTCTTTTCTAAGTCAGTTTATTTTGGTTTAGAAGTGAGGCCACTGGTAAGTTCTCAGGATGGGTCTGGCCATGCGTGGTCAGTGGGCGGGACTGGGCAGCAGCCTGGATGGCTTGTGTCGGGGCAAGGACCTCTCCTCACCCTGATAGTCTTGTGGGGGTGCAGCAGGTTGATTTTTCTTTCATGCAGAGCAAGACAGCATGGACTTAAAGGTGGAGTTTGAGACACATTTCGGCATTGCCCACACGCGCTGGGCCACCCATGGGGTCCCCAACGCCGTCAACAGCCACCCACAGCGCTCAGACAAAGGCAACGGTATGTAGTGTGGCCTTGTTCCCCAGTGCCAGGGTGATACCAGCCCGAGGCTTCCCTGCCTGCCCCATGTCCCTGAGAGAGATGCCAGATGCCCCCCGTCCCTGGCTGCTGGTGCTGGGCTGGCCAGGAGGCAAACAAACAGCCTGGCCCATGGGCAGTGCTGACCTCCCTAGCACCCACAGGAAAATGAGGCCACTTTACCCGGCCCTGCTGCTGGCGCCTTGGAACCCAGTCCGTGAGTGAAATATGGCAGCAGGACGGGTTGCCTAGAGAAGCCGCTGTGTTGCAGAAGGCAGGGTTGCTTCCTCGGGCAGAGCACGCTCTGTTGAAGGAGGAGGCAGAGTCTGTTGCAGGTGCCTGCCCAGCCTCTGCCCCACAGGGAGGCCTCAGCAACCAGGGCTCAGGCTGAGAGAGTGAGAGAAACAGGAACTACAGGAGGCAGCCCCAGCGCCCTTCCCAGCAGGAGAGTCCTCAGCATGGCTCCCTTCATGTTTTCAGAAGTAGAGACTTTTTGTACACAGAATCCAGACCTTTGGCATCCCTTGAAAAAATGGAAACCTTGGGCACTTGATGCCTGGGCCAGACCACTGCTGATGGGCAGCAGGCCCAGGCTGCAGGGCAGGGACACAGCAAATGCTCGCCCTGTTCGCAGAGCCAGGCCTGTCTCCTGCACACAGGCTGACTTCTGTCTTCCTACCCAGCAAGCAAAGGTCTGGGCTCCGCAGTTCTCCCAACTGCCCCTCTCACCAGCCCCCGCTCACAGGCACCCAGTTCTCCTGCCATGTCCTCTTCCCTGACACCCCTGGCCCCGGGCTGCAGCCCCCAGCCCCTGGGCTTCACAGAGCCTCCTGCAGTGAGACACTATGGTGTGTGAGACAGAGAGCTGAAGCCCTAACTCCTCCCAGGTCCCCTAAGGGCAGACAAGATTCCAAGAAATAACTAGGGCTTTTCTTTTGGCTCCCCACTCTTGAGTTGGGGCTGGTCAGGTGACAAGCACCGGATGACCTCCACCTGAGCTGGACAGGTGCAATGTCTAGCAGAGAAGATGACTTTTAAGGGCTTATTTATTTATTTGAAAATATAAATATATTTATATATTTATTTATCTCTATCTATATATTTATCTCAGAGTATCAGAGAGAGAGAGAGATCCTCCATCATTGGTTTGCTCCCCAGATAGCCATAACAGCAAGGTGTAGTCCAGGCTGAAGCCAGGCACCCAGAACTCCACCCAGCTCTCTCAGGTGGCTGGCAGGGACCCAAGTACTTGGGCCATCACCTGCTGCCTCCCAGGTGCATTAGCAGGAAGGTGGATGGGAAGTAGAATAGCTAGGACACAAACTGGCTTTCTGATAGGGGATGCCAGTGACACAAGCTGCAGCTTAACCTGCTGCACTGTAACAGTGGCCCAGAGAAAACAATTTGCGGAGTCAGCTGCCCCTCCCCGCCCACCCACTCCAAGACATTCCCTGGCATAACACAAGTTCTTGCCCAGCCCCATAGCAGAGATCAAATACATCACAGCGTCTGGGGGCTTATCCGTGGGCACCTTGTCACACACTCCACAAATCCCACTGCAGGAAGTCCTTGGGGATGCTGGGCCACAGGAAAGAACCACGCATCCCTGCTCAGTGCCCTTCTCCCACACAGGTCAGTGGTGCCCAAGGTGGAGTGCAGCACCTCCACCTCCCACAGAAAGTGCAGGGCAGCGTGGCCTCTCTCCAAACCACCCCACAGGCCCATTAGCTCGCGCTGCTGACTTTGAAGGACAGGAGAGCCCCATGCACCCTGCTCAGCAGAGCAGCTGGAGGTGGCCCAGGAGCTGGGTCTGCACCTGTGTCCATGTGGTCAGAGTCTTTGATAGTGAGGATTTGGCTGGGAAATGTCACTGAGGTCTGGGTCATATCCTGAACCATAGGGTGTCTCAGGACTGGGACAGGCACCCTGTCCTCAGGAGGAAGTCAGCAGAGGCCACGGTGTGACAACCCAGGAGAGACTTGTGGCCTGACCCCAAATCAGAGGACTGATCCCTGGAGCAGCAAGCAAGCAGTGTTGGCCTAGAAAACACTGCTGAGACCACGTGCCGTGGGCTGTTGCCAACTCCAACCTCAGCCTCCTGCCCACCCAGTGATAAGATGAACCTCATCAGAAAAGCCCCCACTCCAGTGCAGACAATGCTTCTATGTCCCCAAAGAAGGGAGGCTCCGAGGAGACCTACCCACGCCCAAACTTGGAAACTCCTGCCCTGACTCAGGATGAGTAACTGAAAAGAAAACAACACGGCCATATGCAGAGGTTTGCAAAGTTTCTTCAGTAATAGCTGAAAAGCATCATTTCAGCGAAGCCTTACACCCAGCAACCGCATACGGAAGGAAATTACCCACAGGAGTTTTTGCAAGAAAACATGGGTCCCGGAAACAAATTAATGATTTAAGATGATAGACTGATGAAAGAATGCGTGATAGATAGAAGAAAATACTGTAAAGAAACGGTGTTGTAATACATGTGAAGAAAAGGTGGAGAATGGCGTGGTTATGGGGTCTGTTGGTGGAGATTCAGCACGGAGATCTGGTATTTCCAGCTCAGCTGTGGCCAGCACACCTCCTGGAACTGGGCCCTCCTGGTTTTTGTGTGACCTCGAAAGTTCACGGAAAATGGAATTAGGAAATGTTTATTTATTTTATTATTTTATTATATATATTTTTATATTTATATTATATATTTATATATAATATATATTATTTATATTATATATTTATATATTTTATATAATTTATATTATATATAATAATAAAATATATATTTTATTATTTTATTTTATTTATTTATTTTAGTACAAAAAAAACCAGAGAAATCCATGCATATGATGAGTCTTTTTTTAAAAAAGATTTAGGCCAGCGCTGCGGCTCACTAGGCTAATCCTCCGCCTTGCGGTACCGGCACACCGGGTTCTAGTCCTGGTCGGGGCGCCGGATTCTGTCCCGGTTGCTCCTGTTCCAGGCCAGCTCTCTGCTGTGGCCAGGGAGTGCAGTGGAGGATGGCCCAAGAACTTGGGTCCTGCACCCCATGGGAGACCAGGATAAGTACCTGGCTCCTGGCTTCGGATCAGCATGGTGCGCCGGCCGCAGCGCGCCAGCCGAGCTGGCCGCGGCAGCCATTGGAGGGTGAACCAACGGCAAAGGAAGACCTTTCTCTCTGTCTCTCTCTCTCACTGTCCACTCTGCCTGTCAAAAAAATAAATAAATAAAAAAGATTTATTTATTTATTTATTTGAAGGACAGAGTTACAGAGAGGCAGAGGCAGAGTGAGAGAGAGAGGCCTTCCATCCACTGGTTCACTCTCCAATTGGCTGCAATGGCCAGAGCTGAGCCAATCTGAAGCCAGGAATCAGGAGCTTCTTCTGTATCTCCCACATGGGTGCAGGGCCCCAAGGACTTGAACCATCTTCTACTGCTTTCCCAGACCATAGCAGAGAGCTGGATCAGAAGTGGAATAGCCAGGACTCAAACTAGCACCCATATGGGATGCTGGCACTGCAGGCAATGGCTTTACCTGCTGCACACAGCGTTTTTACCATATGATAGGTCTTTAATAAGCTCATAGAAATTTTGGAAAAAAAAAAACCTCTATATAGATTTCAAACCATTTTGCAGCAACATAAACGTATTTTAAAATATTTATGTATTTGAGAGACAGAAAGTAAGAGAGAGAACTGCCATCTGTAGGTTTGCTCTGCAATAGGCCAAAGCAGCAAGCTGAGCCAGGGCTGGAGCAGGAGCCAGGAACTCAATCCAGGTCTCCCATGTGTTTAGCAGGAAACCAACTGCTGGAGTCTATGCCGCTGCCTCCCAGGGTCCACATTAGCAGGAAGTTGGAGTCAGGAGCTGGAGGCAGGCATTGAATCCAAGTGCTCCATGTGGGACACACACATTCCAGCCAGCACCCTAACTGCTAGGCTGAATTCCTACTCCCAATAAATTTATCCTTCAATTCTGTTTCTGTGAGTTTTTTGGGATACCCTCATAGACAGTAGATTTTTTTTCCCCAAAAAAAAGTGATGATGAAAAAGAAGAACAATAATGGAGAAGGCTTTAAAAGATCTCCTAGGAGAGAGCTTTCTGGAACTGAAGAAAAACTTGATGACGCAAAGGATCACTGAACACAGTGTTCGCACAGAGCATCCTATGTCCCGCACATCTCCGTGGGGTGACTGACAGGCAGCAAGAGTCCTTCTGTCATCTAGGATGGGGGAAAGGGAGGGAGCTGCTTGCCCAGGAACACCTTGAGCCCCGGGCCTCTCCCTCAGTTCAGTCACTAATACTTATTGGGAAGAACGCAGTGGTGACTGAGGCAGACACATCCCTCTGCTCCCACGGCCTGCCGGGGGTCCCACCTGTGCAGGGTGCAGCCGGAGTAAACGGGAAGTGGCTGGTGCAGGGGGAGGTGGGAGAAGCTGCAGCAACAGCCTTATTAAAGTCACTCCCATGGCCACACAGCAATGCGAGTGGCTCCAGGGATGCCGGAACTTTTGGGTCTGCCCCCAGAAAAATGTCCCAGGATTTTAAAATGAAAAAAATTCTAAACCCAAAACTTTTGAAATCAAGTATTTTTACAGTTCAATGAAGTTCAAACAAAAATGCACCGTTCACTGTGACCTTGTGACTTATTTGAGCTCACAGTCTAAAGGGAATGCCTGGAATGGTTTGTGGACAGTAAAGGGTTAATCGTCTGCTGTTCAGCATACATACCAAGGCCTGTTTGATAATACTGTAGACCCTACATAAGAGCTCACTGCATGGCCAGGTTGGGGGGTGCTGGTTCTGAAAGAGGAAGGTATATTTCCTCGGGTTTAAGTCCCCGGTCATCACACACACCAAGGTGGCTCAGCAGGCTTTGTAGGAGCTGAGCTTCAAGCCACCGAGTCATTTTAGACTTGAGCTTCATTTCCTGCTAGCATCTCTCCCAAACTGTTTTTCAGAATTTGTTGTCATCCACAATGGGATCATCACGAATTACAAAGATCTGCGGAAGTTTCTGGTAAGAGCCTTCCCCTGAGTGATACCTAAGCTGAATGGCATTGGCCTTCCCCAGGAACATTCCCCGGAAACACTCCCAGGAACTGGGGGAGACCCATACTTAACCCTGTCACAGCACCCACAGAGCCCCCACCACCACACCGGGCCAGCCTCCCTAGGTCTTGTCTAAGGAGACAGCAGGGCACTCATTGTCCTTCAGGGCCCACAGTGGAGGCACAGAATTAAAATCTCTGGATGTCCGTTCTGTTAAAGTAGCCACATAGTGGAATGCCTCTGCTCCTAGGCTCCTAGCCCATGGAATGCGGGTGGGCAGTCTGACGCGGCTGAGGTGGGACAGGGGGTGTGGTGCTGGTGGGGGCGTAGGTGGGATTGACTCAACATATTTTATCATTTCGGCTGCGGGGATTTTGCAACATCCAGATTATTGGCAAAGACAGGCTCCGCGGAGCAATGAGCTCAGGGAGTTCGGGGGGTGACTCAGAGGCGTTTGGCTGTGCGATTCTGGCAAACACTTTTCATCCCTCCCGGTTTCCCTCGGCCTCGCCTTAAGTCACTTCGAGGGCAAATCATCAGGGAGTAGAAGGAGTTGCCCCGGCCAGCATTGCACAATAGTCACCACTATCTGACAGTCTGTGTCCAACCACATGTTCCAGGAAAGCAAAGGTTATGAGTTTGAGTCAGAAACAGACACGGAGACCATCGCCAAGCTGATTAAATATGTGTTCGACAACAGAGAAACTGAGGACATTACGTTTTCAACGCTGGTCGAGAGGGTCATTCAGCAACTGGTGAGTTACACGCTCCATCCATCTAAACTATTCCTTCATTTTCCTAAGCACTTCCGGGGCAAACTGGCACAAAGCGCTGAGGATGAAAGATGGCTCATCTGTAGTAGGTGGCCTTAAGATGTTACCTCCTTGTAAACTGGGGAAAGTTCTGTGCTTCGGGTAGCACACGTCCAACAGAAAGAGTGCCTTGCCTCATTTTAACACCTGTGCCATCGTGACTGGCCTTGCAATCTGACACATCACACGTGAACGTGGCCATGGCAGCTGGGGTTGTCATCTTTTCTGCTGAGTTGTGTTCTGTGTTAACATACCCGGCATGAATTTAACTGATGTTGGAGACTTGCCATTATTTTCTTTCCTCTTTCCTTGGTAAAGCAATTATTGGTTATAGGGAAGCCATGCCCTCAGTTACTAAGTGGGATTAGAAAGAAGAGGAAGTAGAGCCAGCAGGTGCGGATTTCTGAGGTGTTTGATTACAGAAAGGCTTGTAGTGTTGTGGTGGGAGATGGCAGAGGTCACTTGTAGGCTGAAGGAGAGAGCCAGGAACCTGGAGATATCCCAGAGGGCTAGCGCAAGGGAGCACAGCGCCTGCAGAGGGGTGTGCACGCCGGGGGAACTGGCTCCCTCTTTGGAGAGGGAGGAAGTGAAGACATGGGCAGGGGTCCCCAGAGCCCATCCTCCCTGCTGTCATTGCTGTCAGATAGCTCCTCCCAGGTGGTGGCAGCCTGGAGACAGCGGTCAGGACTGGGAATCCTAAACATTCTGTTCAGCAGCCGCTGGAAGCGCCACCCCGGGGTTAACTGTATATCAGAATCCAGGAGTGAAGTGTAAAGTCAGTCTACTGGCGAAGCCCTTTGCCCTATAACTTCCAATTTGGGTAATCCCCAATTTAGAGGATATATTTATAAATAAGAGCTCATCTCATACATTAGTTTCTCAGGGGATTGGTTCCAGCACCTCCGCCCCTCCACATCGATTCCAAAATCTGCAATGCCCGAGTCCCTTTCATCAAATGGGGTAGCGTTTGTGTAGAACCCAAGCACATCCTCCTGTATACTTGAAATCGTCCCAGATTCCTTATAATCCCTAATACAGTGTAAGTGCTATGTGAATCGTTGCTGTACTGTATTGCTTAGGGGATAATGATAAGAAAAAAAAAAAGACTGCACTGCTTCAGTACAGACATGATCCTAACTATTGTAGCTAACTACATAGTACAGGTCAGCAACAATGTAACATTTTTTTTCCAAATAGTTTCCATCCATATTGGTTGCAGGGCAGATTGCACTTTAATGTAAGGCATAACTTCTGGTATTAAATACTGTGAACAAATTTGGTACTGCAGCACAGTACTTCCTCTCTCCCATTTGTAATTTTACATTTTGGAGGTACCGCCCCCTCCTGGCACCTCGCTTACCAGAAACAGCACAGAGCTGTTATTGGCCGAGACCCGGAAGTGTTTTTCTATTCCCTCCTCCTTGTTTACAAAGCAGCAGTTGGATGTCAGGTCGCTCAGGATCTGCCTGCAGCCCCTTCATCCTGGGCTGTTTGAAAGATCCTTTGAGGACCCGATGCCCAGTATGGGCGCCCCAGGCTGTGAAGTTGAGTTGCAACCTGGATGTGACACGCTGACACCAGGGCCTTGGGTCTGCCCGGGGTCCCCTCGCTTGGGGGGTTTCACATGGAAGTTTGGATTTTGCAGTTGGCTGTGTATAACTGAGGTCTATAAGGGTCATGGTGACTTAGTACAGGATGGAGAGAATATAGGAAAATCTTGGCACCAAGAATCTAAATTTGGTGTGTGGAGTGAAGAATTACACAAGCCAGCGGGCTGGGGCACAGAGCCAGTGACAGCTGGCCCCTCAGAAACCACAATAACAACGATGAAAGCAATTTCGGTTTCTCTTGGCTTCTCTATGTGTCAGGCTGATCATCATGCCAGAAGCCACACAGGTAGGACTGTTCTCACCTCTTGCACACGTGAGGAAACCAGGCACAAAGAAAACTAAAAGAGACTGCTGGGTCAAGGGGTGGACCCTGCAGCTCTGTGTTGGGTAAGCACAGCTCATAGATTAGCCGCTGGAGTCCTCCCTGATTAGGCACTAGGCTGAGGCTTAAGGCAGAGCTTCCCCAAACCCCGCCCCCAGTTCTCATTTTCTGTGGCTCCGCCCAGCTGGTCACAGAGCCAGCATCCCTGATGGGGCTTCTTGTGGCTGATAGGGCTCATCTGAAATCCACAAGCCCTGGCCTCTGCTATCTCAGCATGGAGCCTACCGTCTGCAATGCTTTCCTCCTAACATCACCCTGCACCTGCTGTTCCTGCATCTACACTCCCCCTCCCCACACACATGATCCCAGGTTTGACTGCTGAGAAGAGAGGCCCAGGAAGACCAGTCTCCGGTGCAGGCACTGGCTTGGCCAGCCAGAAGGAGTGATCCTTGGCTGTTTCATGTGTTTTCAGGAAGGGGCATTTGCGCTGGTTTTCAAGAGCATCCACTACCCAGGAGAAGCCGTTGCCACAAGGTGAGGAGCAATACATTGACATTTCCAGTACCAAACAAATACCATGAAGCCGCTCAGCTCGAGGCACAGGGAGAGGTGGGGCTTCTGGCACATATAAGCTGCTTTCTGTCTTAAAGCAGAACTGTGGCCGAGCTGAGACTGTGCCCCACCATCTCTGCAGCTGGTGATGCTGAGAGCTTCTGATTGTTTTTGTTTTTAATTAATTAATTTATTTGAGAGGCAGAATTACAGACAGAGAGAGGGAGAGAGAGAGAGAATGAGGTTTTCCATCCACTGGTTCAGTCCCCAGATGGCTGCAACAGCCAGAGTTGGGTTGATCGGAAGCCAGGAGCCAGGAGCCTCTTCTGGGTCTCCTATATGGGTGTAAGGACCCAAGAACTTGGGCCATCTTCTACTGCTTTCCCAGGCTATAGCAGAAAGCTGGATCGGAAGAGGAGCAGCTGGAACACTAGCTGGCACCCGTATGGGACGCAGGTGGAGGCTTAGCCTACAAGGCCATGGCAATGGCCCCTAGAAAGACAATTTAAATTGCTTCCCCACTGGACCCAGAACTGTCTGTGATTTGCTTTAGATACAGTGAAAGATGGTCCAAAATAATCAAGGTATGTCTCCAAGTCAGAAACCATGTCCCCTACCTTGAGAAACCGGAAGAGGCGCAAACAAGTCACCCCTTGTGGAAACAGGGTCTGCTGTTACTGCAAAAATAGTGAGGGCCTGGCTGGAGGCAGGGTAGCAAATTTAAGGCACATCCGTGGGCTGCCTTCAGGCTCGCAATCAAGTTAGTCCCTTTTCCAGACATTTGATTGAGGTAAAATGTTACCCATTGTATTGAATTAACGAGTTTGAGGCAGCTCTCTCACTTTGCCTTATTAAAACACCCTCAGGGTTTTCTTCTTGTTAATAAATGAATATGTAGGGAGGAAAGCACACACTTAGTCCAGTAGGTCTCCCTTTCCCCAAAGTTTGCTTTCTTTAGTTTCACCCGTAGTCAATCTTAGTGTGAAAATACTAAGTGGAGGGGCCGCTGCCTGCAGTGCCAGCCTCCCATATGGGCGCCGGTCTGTGTCCCAGCTGCTCCTCTTCCCACCAGCTCTCTGCTATGGCCTGGGAAAGCAGTAGAAGATGGCCCAAGTGCTTGGGCCCCTGAAGCTCCTGGTTTCAGATTGGCCCAGCTCTGGCCATTGTGTTCATTTGGGGAGTGAACCAGTAGATGGAAGACCTCTCTCTCTCTCTCTCTCTCTCTCTTTTTGCCCATGCCTCTCTGTGACTCTTCCTTTCAAATAAATAAATAAGTAAATCTGAAAAAATCAGTGAAGAAAATTCCAGAAAGAAGCAATTTGAGAGTCTTAACCTTTATACAGTAAATGGCTATAATTGCTTTACCTTATTGAGTTCTTCATCTCTTGTTAATCTCTTTCTGTGCCTAACTTATAATTCAGCTTCATCGTGGCTTATATAGCGGGTGGTACTGGCTGGCTTCAGGCGCCCCTGGGGGTCTTGGAGTGAGTCCCCTGCTGTCAGGGGCTTTGGCTCTGGAGTTTTTCCTGCCTGGGTTCTGACTAAGGGTCACACTGTTAGAAAGTTTGAGTTTCAAAAGCCAACAGCTGGTGTCTAGGCACATCTATTGTAAATTTGGATCGCATGCTCTCATTTATAAGAATAAGCAAAGAATTAGACTTTGAAGGCAGCGTGCCATTAAAAGTCACAGAATTTTTTTTTTTTTAATTGAGAGAGAGAGAGAGACAGAGAGAAAGGCCTTCCTTCCTTCCGTTGGTTCACCCCCCAAATGGCCACTAAGGCCGGTGCGCTGCACCGATCCAAAGCCAGGAGCCAGGTGCTTCCTCCTGGTCTCCCATGTGGGTGCAGGGCCCAAGCACATGGGCCATCCTCCACTGCCTTCCTGGGCCATAGCAGAGAGCTGGCCTGGAAGAGGGGCAACCAGGACAGAATCCAGCGCCCCAACCAGGACTAGAACCCCTGGTGCCGGCGCTGCAGGCGGAGGATTAGCCTTGAGCCATGGCACCGGCCCAGAATAAGGTTTTAAACTCTTTCACCACTGGAAGTAGTGAGCCAGCAGTGACCTCAAGCGCTGTCCCGAGGGTTCCCTCCATGTGTGTGGAGAGCTGCTGGCCAAGTGGGTCCCTAGGAGGGGAGACCTGAGTCAGAGCCCCTCACCCACCTGGCTGCGAGAGTCTCTGCCTCATGCAAATCACTCTTCCTTGATGATGAGGGCCACCTTGCACTCCATCTGTGAGGTGTCACTCATGCAGAAACGAAGCCACCCTGGAAAGGGTCTGAGGCAGCCCCCAAGGCAGAGGTCAGTTGTCCCTTGGCTTGTGTGGGGGATTGGTTTCAGAACTCTCGAGGACAGCAAAAATCTGTGAATGTTCAAGTTCCTTCTACAAAGTGTCATAGAGTCCGTGTAGAACCTGTGCACATCCTCCTGTATACTTTAAATTACTCACTGGAGAGGCAGAGAGGGGGAAGACAGGCAGAGAGTTCTCATCCAGGCTGATTCATTCCTCCAGATGCCTGCAATGGCCAGGGCTGGACCAGAGCCAAGGCTGGGAGCCAGGAGCTCAATCCAGGTCTTCTGTGTGGGTGGCAGGGACCAGGCACTTGAGCCATCACTACTACAATAGTCAGGAACCAGAATCAGGGATCAAACGCAAGCACACTGATGTGGGACCCGGCCAGACACCGGCCCCTCCCATGTATTTGAAAGCATCTCTAGACTATCACAACACCTGGTCCAGTACCGACATGTCACTTCATTCATGTGCATTTGAGATGGTATTCCTTGCACAGCAAACTAAGATTTGCTTTCTCCTCATTTATGGGCTTTTTCCCCCCAATATTTCTGATCTGTGGTTTGTTTGATCCTTGGATATGGGGCACACACGTTCAGAAGACCAACTCTGCACACAAAATGCAGTTAGTTGAGTGCCCACTCAAGCTAGGGAGTGACAGAGCTAGACAAGAGGGCATCTCTGGGTGGACCACCGTGAACTGGAGGGGTCCCTCATCTCTGGTCCCCTGACGATGGAGGTCAGACAGGTTACCAGGCTCACTGGACGGCGGATGAGGCTGTTAGTGATCCAGGGTTCACATACTGGGCTGCCATTCCTACTCCAGACCTTGAGGGCATCTTCCTGTGGTCATATCATCTACCCCCATGGGACAGAAACATAGCTCCCTGCTACAGGGGAAAAGCTTGATTTGGGAATGCCACCCCAATATGAGGTGACATCCAGTCCTGAGTGTCTGAGGCAATGGCTGACTTGACTCCTTCTTCCTCCAGGAGAGGCAGCCCACTGCTCATCGGGGTGCGGAGCAAGTACAAACTCTCCACGGAGCAGATCCCCATCCTGTACAGATCATGTAAGTCTCCCCTTGCAGGACTTGAACAGGCAGCTCCCCTCCAAGGCAAGGACACAACCCCCTGGGGCCACACCAGCCTGCAGCTTCAGGTCTAAGAGAATTTCAAGCAACTGAGATTTGGCTCCATTTTAAAAAAAGCTTTTCATTATGGATATTTTCAAACATGCACAATAGTAGAGAGCCCAGTATAATGGCAACTGTGTGCTGATTGGAGTGTTTCTTTGGTTTGTTTCTGTTTGCATTGCTCTCACGTTGCAGCCGTTTCAAATGCTCTTGAGGGGAGTGGTACTGTGCTATTTGGGGAGCTTTTATACAATTTGGCTGGCACAGCCAGAGCTAAAAATTGCAGTATCTCCCACACGTATTCAAAAGGGAGATGGGCTCCTTGCCGCGTGTGAAGCAAACCAGAGGCTGCTGGGATTTGCATCGTCGCTTTGTTTGCTAGGTACGATTGAGAATGCAAAGAGCACCTGCAAAGCCAGGACCAGGAGGCTAGACAGCTCCACCTGCCTTCATGCTGTGGGTGATAAGGCCGTGGAATTCTTCTTCGCTTCCGATGCAAGGTAAGCGTCCAGGTGCCTTCTTTGCTGGGATCATGTCATCAAAGAGTGGCTGTCTGAACACCAGTCTTTTCTCCTCATGCTCCTTGGATTGTTGTCTCAGGATTAGGAGCCGAGGCAGACCTCAGCCCTCAGGGGTCCTCCCTCTGAGATCTCTGTGTTGTGGGCACACATGTGATGACTCTGGGTAGCCCAGTGGCCAAGAGCCGCATGGTGTAGGCCTTCACAAGTTAATTGAGTTAGTTGCCAACATTTTATAATGGGAAAGATTCACAGAAAAAGCTGATTTCTTGCTTCTCTGGAGAAAATAGCAGATCTGGGCACCCTGGACCCTGCTGCCCCCTGGCCCCACTGCCTGGGGCTGTACTTGACTGCTCCTTTAGATGGCCCAAGTGGCCATCACATCACTCTCTTTTGAGCTCTGGCCATTTGCAACCCAGAGCCAGGATTTAAGGGTTTGCCCAGTTGGTTCCAAAATTCAAAAATCACCAATCCGAAGAATAATAATTTTTGAAATGTGAGAAATTCAGCTTCGTATACATTTTATAGTCACAGACATCATTCAGGAAGAGAGGAGAGACAGAACAAAACTCCCAAACCAGAGAGTGATCCAACATGGGAAGTGAGATACTCAGCAGACTCATAGAATGGCGGATGTCCTAAATAGCACTCTGGCCTCAGAATCAGCCCTAAAGGCACTCGGATCTGGCTGAAAAGCCCATGAGAGTATTTCAGGCATGGAAAGCCAAGACACTCTGGCAAAAAGATCTCTGTGAATGAGATCCCAGTGGAAAGAACAGGTCTTCAAAGAGGGAGGTGCCTTTCTCTGAAGGGAGGAGAGAACCTCCACTTTGACTATGACCTTGTCTAAACAAGATAAGAGTCGGAGAATTCAAGGGGCTTCCATAGCCTTGGAAACTCATGACTGGTGCATAGGGAGATTACTGATGCCATAAACAGGAGTGTCAATTTGTAAAGTCAACAACAGGAGTCACTGTGCACTTACTCCTCATGTAGGATCTCTGTCCTTAATGTGCTGTACACTGAGGCTTAATGCTATAACGAGTACTCAAACAGTATATTTCACTTTGTGTTTCTATGGGGGTGCAAACGATTGAAATCTTTACTTAATGTACACTAAACTGATCTTCTGTAAAAAAAAAAAAAAAAAGAAATTATCAATTCCCAACTTGACTCTCACTGGGATTAAACATGACAATAGGTCTGATCTGATTTCATCATCATTTAAAAAAAATCATCTATTATTTTTCACTTTATGTTTCTGTGTGGGAACAAACTGTTGAAATCCTTACTTAAGGTATACTAAGCTGATCTTCTGTATATTAAGATAATCGAAAATGAATCTTGATGTGAATGGAAGGGGAGAGGGAGTGGGAAAGGGGAGGGTTGTGGGTGGGAGGGACGGTATGGGGGGGAAAGCCATTGTAACCCATGAGTCGTACTTTGGAAATTTATATTCATTAAATAAAAGATAAAAAAAAAAAACAAAAAACTTCCAAACCACCTTACTGCTATTTAATAGAACACTGTGATCACCAGTACTATCTCTTCCACCCAAGCCTTTACTGTTTATTTCCATTTGGATGTGGGTGTGAGTGTGTGTGTGTGTGTGTGTGTGTGTTTGACTCTCTGTATGTCTGCGTCTCTATGTGAGTCTGGTATGGGTGTGTGTGTGTGTGTGTGAGAGAGAGAGAGAGAGAGAGAGAAAGAAGTCCTCGTGGTGTTGTCTAACATGTTCCTCTGTCCACTGCATTTCTTGTAACCCAGAATTTACCCGTTTCCAGGGGCTTGATCTTGTTCAGTTTTTATTTATTTTTGCACAATTACACAGGTGAGGTATGTCCTTCCACAGGAGACACACAATGTTTCACTGTCTCCTTCTTGTGTTAAGATGATTGGGATCCAAGTGCTGGTGGCCTTGTCCATCCACCATAAAGCTTCTCTTGGTTTTATCTCTCATGGCTCAACAGCCATAAAGCAGTCTTGATTAGAGCTTCTAATAATTAGAAGCCCTTAAATTCATGATTCTAATTCAACCGTTCCTTTTTTATTAACAGTATTACTTAGTTGTTTATTGATTGATTTGCATTTTATTTGAAAGGCACAGAAATGCAGAAAGATAGACACTCAGACAGAAATTTCATCTACTGGTCAGTTCAGGTCCCCCATGTGAGTGGCAGGAATCCTCCTACTTGAGCCGTCATCTGCCACCTCCTGGAGCCTACGTTAGCAGGAAGTTGGACTTGGAAGCATAGTTGGGGCTAGAACCCAAGCACTTCAATATGGCATCCCAAGCACATCTTAACCGACGTGCCAAATGTCTGCCTCCCCAGTATTACTTCTATAAAGGGAAACTTGCCTGCATAAACTGAGGTGTTCTGAAAGAGACATTTTTAAAATACAAGTTAAGTGTTTCACTCTTTTCCTTTACATTTCACTACAAGTGTTGCTTCCTGAGCATTCTCCCCAGGTAGCATTGTGTAGACTCTGATTTGGAGAAATCGGTCACAGAAAGACATCCACAAAATGGCTGGGGAAATCTGAATGTACTGGCTGTTTAGTGATCTGAAGGAAACTATGAATTTTAGGAAGGATACTGGTGCTGTAGTAGGTTAAAAATCATCCTTGTCTTTTAGAGACACAAGCTGAACTGTTTACAGAAGAAATGATTCTGGGAGCAATGTCTGGGACTGGAGGGGTGGGGAGGAGGTATAGGGAAGAAGGGGAATGAATGCTTTTGGGGTGGTGTCCTTGTACCCCATATAATGCCAGGGCACGGACTCTATGCTCTGGAGAGTGAGTGACTGCCACCTCGTAACTGTGGAGGGCAAGGCACCATCCCTAACCTCTGTGTCTCCCTTGGCCCAGCGCCATCATAGAGCACACCAACCGGGTCATCTTCCTCGAGGACGACGACATTGCCGCAGTGGCTGATGGGAAACTCTCCATTCACCGGGTCAAGCGCTCGGCTAGTGACGACCCCTCTCGAGCCATCCAGACCTTGCAGATGGAACTGCAGCAGATCATGAAAGGCAGGTGTCCTCTGAGAGTCTGTGTGAAGCAGACACTGGGGCCCTGGCAGGGAGGGCGCTCCCCACATTCTGCCCTACCCTGCATGGGTGCCACAGCCCTGCTGCACCATAGCCCTGGGTGGACTGCAGGTGGCCTGTGGCTCACAAGCAGAGGGGGTGTGAGGAATCTGGCAGCTCCATGGGCCCTATTGTCTGTATCCTGATCCTGTTGAGTCAGGACCTGATTCCCTGGGGTGCATCTGTGCCCAGGCATTATTTCCCCTCCATTGTGGGGTCTGCAGTAAAGAGGGTGTGGACCATTGCTTCCAGAAAGAGAGTCTGTCTCTCTGCACCTACGTTGGTCCCCTTCAACCACTACCCCACTGCACAGTCTGAGTGAACTTTTCAGAACTTTTAAGTCAGGCCCTGCTATCTTTCCACTACTCAAAGCCCTCCAGTGGCTTCTCCCATCCCTAGAATAAAACCCAAACTCCCTGGTGCATCCACCCCCACTAAGCCAAACCTGGCCCTGACGCACTTACCCCTTTGCCCACTATGCGGCCCCATGGGCCTGGCTGCCTCCCTGCCACCAAGACAGGCCGAGTGCTTCCACCTGGGGCCCCTGCACTTTTTTTTTTTTTTTTTTTTTTTTTTGAAAGTCAGAGTTACACAGAGAGAAGGAGAGGCAGAGAGAGAGAGAGAGGTCTAACATCCTCTGGTTCACTCTCCAATTGACCGCAATGGCCGGAGCTGTGCCAATCCAAAGCCAGGAACCAGGAGCTTCTTCCGGGTCTTCCCATATGGGTACAGAGGCCCAAGGCCTTGGGCCATCTTCTACTTATTTCCCAGGCCATAGCAGAGAGCTGGATTGGAAGTGTAGCAGCCAGGACTCGAACCGGTGGCCATATGGGATGCCGTCGGCAGCTTTACCCGCTGTGCCACAGTCCTGCGCTTATTGTTATTGTTATCACAGGACCCTGAGCTTCCTCTGGGTGTTGCCTAAGATCCTTTCCCCGAGTCTGTATCTGCTCTGGCCTCTCCCCAGAACCAGTACCCGCAATGGTCTCCTTCTCAGCCACCTTATTTGTCCCATGGCAGCAGACAGGGAACACTGGTGCTGTGTGGCCTCCCCCAGGCCTGTATCCCCCAGAACACCACCACCAAGTTTGTGGACTTCTCCAAAGCCTCCACGGCTGCTTCTCAGTCAGGGGCACCAGCACCCTGCAGCCTGCGGCAGCTTTGACATTATCCCTTTACTTTCTTCTGGCAGAAGATCACTCTTTGTTCGCCAACAGGCCACAGGCAAACCTCTTCCTTCCTCAAGCTGCAGGGTCTCAAGTGTGAATCAGAGAGGCTGACCTGCTGTGAGGCAGGACGGTCCCTGGGGTCACGCTTGGGGACCTGCAGTGGGTGTCACCCCACGGAAAGACTGTTCCTCCTGATTGAAAGCTCAGTACTGGAAATGTCACTGACTCAAAACTGACCCGTCTCCTGGCGCTTCCTTGCTAGGTAACTTCAGCGCGTTTATGCAGAAGGAGATCTTCGAGCAGCCAGAGTCGGTTTTCAACACCATGAGAGGTCGGGTGAACTTTGAAACCAACACAGGTAACCTGGAAACAGGAGTCGGTGGCTGTTCCTAGCCATGTTGAGTTTGTTGTCTCTTGGAGGACAAAGGCATGGGCCCATGGAAGTAAAGTTTAATGAAAAGAAGCACACCTGATAGACCAAGCAGGCATCTCTGGATGCAGGCTGTCTGGATTCAGACTGGAGCTTTTATGGATTTAGGCATGAGCCCTCTCCTTCCTCCCTGTCAGGGATGTCTCTCTGGGTGGAGGATTCTGGTGTGGAATTCCTAAAATTCCTCCCGAAAGTTCTTAACAGCCCCCTGGGTGCAGAGCAGATAAGAATTCACTTATCTGCCCCCAGGGAGAGGGCTGGGACCCACCCAACCAGGTGACTGAACAAAAGCAGTAATTTAGATGTGTAATGCAGGTCTGCTCCCAAGGCTAACTTCTGTGTTTCTGTCCTCACCCAACACACCCTGGCCAATGTCAACCCAGTTCCCTTAACAACCTCATTGCTGGGGAAGCGCCGCTGCACCCGGTACTGACTGCACGACTGCACGACTGCACGACTGCACGACTGCACGTAGAGGCCGTGTCCCAGCACTGACCTCCCCGCCCCCCATTGTGCCCACAGTGCTCCTGGGCGGCCTGAAGGACCATCTGAAGGAGATCCGCCGCTGCCGCCGGCTCATCGTAATTGGCTGTGGGACCAGCTACCATGCCGCCGTGGCTGTAAGTGCACCGTGCTAGAGTCATGGCTCTTAAATGTTCTCGTGCCCTTGGCCTTCTGAATTTGCCAAAGCCCTCGCACTCATTCCCATGAGCCAGTGTGAGAAGTGGCTCTGAGCCCTGTCTCTGCAAGTGGCCTGTGAGTGGCCGAATCCCTCCCACCCCCCACCCCCCATACATTGAGCTGCCATGTCACACACTGCCCCAGAATCCCAGCCTCCCATGTCCCTGTGGCCCCCAGGACTGACTCGAGTCCCCATTCTTGTTGGCCTTAGACGCGGCAAGTGCTGGAGGAACTGACGGAACTCCCGGTGATGGTTGAACTTGCCAGTGATTTTCTGGACAGGAACACACCTGTGTTCAGGGATGACGTCTGCTTTTTCATAAGCCAATCAGGTATGGGATGGGCGCAGACAGGTTTGTGTTCATTCCGTATGCCTCCCTCCCTTCTTCATCCTGTTACTGGAGGGAAGGCCTCGGAAGCCTCTTGTTTTCACGCAAGAAAAGAATTCAAGCGTGAGACAGAGTGGAGTGAAAAGGCTTTACTGGGGACAGGGCATCCGTCAGGACGGAAGGGACAGAGAGAGAGCGACCGGGCTGGGGGAGAGCGAGATCACATGGTCGAGTGGAGAGAATACACCTGGGCAGGTGACGCAGCAGAGAGGCAGGGCCGAGCGTGCAGCCCAGTTGGACTCCCTAGGTTTTTAAGGGAGTCTGTTTACCCACCTACCCCTCTCCTCCAGGACAAAGGATGGAGAGTCTTGGCGGAAGGGTTTGTTGGGTGAGAATTAGCAAATTCCTCCCCAGATTGCTAGCCCCTGGCAGAGTAGGGGGGCTTCCCTTAGGGTGTGTCTAAGATGGTTTTATTGCCCCTTGTTATCAGGTAACCTCTTTGGTCCTGAGGAGAGAGAATTCTGGGAGTTTTCCTTGGGGGAAGGGCTGGGACCACCTAGGAGGTCTTCAGGGTCTGAGCAGGACTTTGAAGTTCAAGGAGCTTCCAGCAGTGGGTGCTGGTCTTCAGGCCTTTCTCATACACACATAGGCTCAATTTCTGACTTCCTAGTAACAGTCCCACTAAGTCCTCTGTGCACTACCATGTGCCGCACGCTCTCTTGAGCACCAAGTCACTTGGTTCTTGGAGCTGTCTGCCACTGTCCCGTTTTACCAGGAGGGCAGCCAGGTGCAACAGAGCTGGAATTGAGCTGGGGATCCAGGTCCATTGGGCTCTCCCCTGCCCCATGGTTTTTCCTTCCTCCTGCCATCCCAAGTCCAGGACTTCAGCTACCACTCACCAATTTGCTTGTAATTGTTTGCCAGACTTAATTTAGTGGAGAAAAAAAAATCCTTTGAAATTCTAGGTTAAGAATCCCTTCAGGGACTCTGCAGGCTACAAGCTCCAGCCCTGGCAGCTCACTGTGTGCAGTGCCCAGGGTGCCCAGCAGGGGGAAGTGTGGTACAACCCTGCTCCTGCTAGGTGGAAGGCATTCCCTTTGCGGAGCACACCCTGCCTGGTGGGGCCCCAGCACTAGGTCATGGCATCCCGAGGTGAACCTTGGCTTTGGAGCATTCCAAACATGTATGGAAGTAGAGATGGCACAGAATGCAAGAATGGGCTCAGCCCTCTCACGTCAGCCACACAAGTGGTAACACCCCCCTTCTCTGAGATTATTTTGAAGCCAGTCCCAGACACATTCAATTCATAAATAGAAGGCATGATAAAAAAGATCAAAGAAAAACAGCCACAGTGTCCTCATCATGGTTTAAAAGTTGACGGTAGTATTGTGGATGTTAACACTGCATCCATCTTTTTTTTTTTTTTTGGACAGGCAGAGTGGATAGTGAGAGAGAGAGAGAGAGAGAGAGAGAGACAGAGAGAAAGGTCTTCCTTTGCCGCTGGTTCACCCTCCAATGGCCGCCGCGGCCGGCGCGCTGCGGCCGGCGCACCGCGCTGATCTGATGGCAGGAGCCAGGAGCCAGGTGCTTTTCCTGGTCTCCCATGGGGTGCAGGGCCCAAGCACCTGGGCCATCCTCCACTGCACTCCCTGGCCACAGCAGAGAGCTGGCCTGGAAGAGGGGCAACCGGGACAGAATCCGGCGCCCCAACCGGGACTAGAACCCGGTGTGCCGGCGCCGCAAGGCGGAGGATTAGCCTAGTGAGCCGCGGCGCCGGCCCTGCATCCATCTTGATTTTTAATATCATTTCTGTTTTGATCAGAAGCTAGGAACACTAGAACAGACACACACACCCCCGGTAGCTGACCACCTGGTTGCCCAGGGTCTGCCACCGTCGCCTTTGGGTTTATAGTCCCATCCAAGCTTAAACAGATTTCATCAATTGGTTTGAGCCAGCAACAAAAGAACAGAGATGAATTGGCTGTGAAAAGAATACTGTAGCAGACCGAGTCTCTCTAGAATATGATGTTCAATCTTTTAATGACATCGCAAGAAAAAAACCTACATCAAAACTAGGGACTAGCTGGTGAACACAGAGCCAAAAGCAGGGTCCAGGGGGCACAGAACAGCCTCCTGCCACTCCTGTGAGTTCAGATGGCCTTGATGTTATAGGCTGGTTCATGCTTGATTTAGTTTGAATCCTTTAAGACTCACAAACATAGGGAGTTTTGCTGGTTTATGCGTGAACCTATTTAAGTAGCTTCATTACAAAAACAACTTGAGTTCACATTAGGAGGTTGCACCATTTGGGGGCATTCTTGCACTTCTGAATAGGGCTGTGCAGAATCCCAGAGAGAATGCGGGAGCCAGGCCCAGCCATCTCCTGCAGCTGCTGAGGCCTCGATTCCCGCCACACTGAGCCCTCAGTCACAAGGGGAAGGGGGTGTGGAGGCTGCCACCGGGCATCCTCGCACATAAGTAGTAGCAAGATCACACATTGCGGAGTAGGCTTCTTCCTCTTGTGGAACGTGCTGACTTCCCGGAGGAGCTGGTGGGATGGGTTGGGCCGGGTAGAGCCCGCACTGAAAGGGGCCCTGTGCGGCAGGTGAGACTGCGGACACCCTCCTGGCCCTGCGCTACTGCAAGGACCGCCGCGCCCTCACCGTGGGTGTCACCAACACCGTGGGCAGCTCTATCTCCCGAGAGACTGACTGTGGCGTCCACATCAACGCAGGCCCGGAGATCGGTGTGGCCAGCACCAAGGTAGGAGCCTGGCGTGGGTGCCCTTCTGCTGCCCCGGCTCTGCCAGGTGCTCTTTTCCTTCCGGTGTGTGTGTGTATGAGCGAGTGTGTGCGTGTGAGCATGTGTTTGTGACTTTCCGTTCCCCCTCCCTCTGTGTCGCGGCCTGGGCACGGCTGCCAGGTGCTTGTCTCGCAGCCCCTACCCCTCCTTCCTTGTCCACAGGCCTACACCAGCCAGTTCATCTCCCTGGTGATGTTTGGTTTGATGATGTCAGAAGACCGAATTTCGCTGCAGAGCCGCCGGCAGGAGATTATCCGGGGCCTGAGAGCTTTGCCTGGTGAGTGCCGGATCGCAGCTTTCCATGTTTTCAAATGGGTCCGCTGTTCCTGTCCACTCTCTTACCTGCTGTTAGCGGTACCATTCATCACTGCCTCCTCTTAACACTGTGTGCACAGAATCCCACCATTCTCTGCAAAATGGAAAGCATACCCTCACCAGGCCTGATAGCCCCGGGGCGCTGTGCCCTGCTGCCCCTGCCCTCGGTCCTCCCCTCCCTTCCCAGCTGCCTCCCCGACCTTCTGACCTCAGCAAGTGTTTGCGTACAGGCTGGTCAGGCTTGGCCCAGGTGTAATCACATATGAAGAGAGTTGGGAGAGGCATTCAGCCTAGTGGTGAGATGCGAGTTCCTGGCTCCTGACTTCGCTTCCTGCTCATGCAGGCCCTGAGAGGCCGTGCTGATGCCTTAAGTAGAGTTGGGTTCCTGCCATTCATGCGGGAGATCTGAATTAAGTTCCTAGCTTTGGACCTTGGTCCAGGACAAGCCTTGGCTGTTGGGAGCATTTGGGGAGTAGACCAGCAGATGGGAACTCTGTGTGTGTGTGCTTGCTTCTCAAATAAGTAATTTTAAAAAATTGTTTGAGGTTCAGTTAGCCTGACACTTCAAGAAAGACAACCAATTTATCACCAAGGGTGAACTTCAAGCTCCAGGTTTTGCTTGGTTGTATCTACTGACATGAACTTGACCACTTACTAGTATTTAAAGTTTCCCCCAATCAAATCATGGTGTTTTATAGTGAAATGTGTCCATTTTTAGGGGATTTGCATAACTTTCTGGCCAATGCCTAATGGTACAAAATTATGCACAAAATAAACAGACCGATTTCAGGTGCAAGTAAATTTTAAGGTAAATTTTAGACTTCACTTTTTATTTTTTTGCTTTTTTTTTTTGACAGGCAGAGTAGACAGTGAGAGAGAGAGACAGAGAGAAAGGTCTTCCTTTTTCCATTGGTCCACCCCTCAATGGCCGTTCTGACAGCGCGCTGCGGCCAGCGCACCGCGCCAATCCGAAGCCAGGAGCCAGGTACTTCTCCTGGTCTCCCATGCGGATGCAGGCCCCATGCACTTGGGCCATCCTCCACTGCCTTCCCAGCCATAGCAGAGAGCTGGACTGGAAGAGGAGCAACCGGGACAGAATCCAGCGCCCTGACCGGGACTAGAACCTGGTGTGCTGGCGCCGAAGGTGGAAGATTAGCCTAGTGAGCCGCGGTGCTGGCCATAGACTTCACTTTTACAATACTCTTTTAAGAAACTGTTGCTTCTTGAATTTAATCTAATACCAAAGAGGAATACTCACAATTATTACTGTAGTGTTTTTTAAATACTCACCCCTTTTTCAAACTAGGCTTCTCTGTGAGGCCAGATTTCATTCCTATACTTCAATGAAAAGAACATATCACAACAGATTAAAAAGATGTGCAAAAACATAAAGCAATGCACTGCCACTCTTCTCACTAATTAATTTTTAATACCATAATGTAATGGGTTTATTGTTATTTCTAATTAAGATTTTAAAATTTCTCAGTATTATTTTCTAATAGCATTTTCTAGCTATAGACCATAAAAACAAAGGCTCTTAGGGATTCAGAATAATTTGTAAGAGTGTCAGGGTGTCCTGAGACCAAAAAGTCAAAATTGCTAATCCGGCATGTTCTGGCTTTGTCCTCAGACTCAGCAAGTGACAGGGGCTTCAACCTGGCCCAGCTGTGACAACTGGGGGTGTTTGGGGAGTGATTAATGGATGGAAGATCTCTGTCTGCCTGCCTTTCAAAGAAAATGAGAAAATAAAAAATGGGGAGCGTGGTTTCCAACTTGCAGGCCATCTACCTTGGAAGCATTGTAATATTTTTTTTTTTAAAACATGAGTTCTTTATTGGTATTACTATTTTTAAAATATTTATTTTATTTATTTGAAAGGCAGAGAGGGAGAATTCTTCCATCCACTGCTTCACTCCATACATGATTGCAACCTCTAGAGCTGGGCCAGGCCTAAGCCAGGAGCCTGGAACTCCACCTGGGTCTTCCACATGGGTGGAAGAGTCCCAACCACCCGGGCCATCTTCCAGTGCTTTCCCAGGGAGCTGGATTGGAAGCAGGGCAGCCGGGACTTGAACTAGTGTCTATATAGAAGGCCAGCATTGCAGGCGACACTTTAACCTGCTGGGCCACAATGCTGGCCCCTGTGAATATTTTAAAATGAACTGACTTCACTCTGTATGTGCCTTAGAACTGATCAAGGAAGTGCTGTCGCTGGATGAGAAGATCCACGACCTGGCCCTGGAGCTATACACACAGAGGTCACTGCTGGTGATGGGGCGAGGCTACAACTACGCCACATGCCTGGAAGGAGCCTTGGTGAGCCCCTCTCTGTCCGGCCCCCCACCCCAGCACCCTCTGTGCAGCCCTCCCAAACATCATGTAGGGCAGATGCAGTAGACAGCCCAAGAAACCAGCAGGAAGGCAGGCAGGGCACTGGGCTGGGGTGGGGGATGGGGCTTGGGGACCCCTTGGTGGCAGAACCTGCACGGAGCACTGCAATGAGGCTGTTCTGCTTCTTGGGACACAGAAAAAGGTGAGGCAGGTGCCTGTCCCCAGACAGCTCCCGATCTCCTGGGGAGAAAGGGTCAGGGCACCCTTGGGTGGATCTCTTGAGGAATGCAAGCCACACCAGGCACCCTCTGGCACAGCCGGTCACAGCTCAGGAGCTCCTTCTGAGAGGCTGGCAAGTATCGTCCGCAGGAAGCGATGCCTCCTAGAGGCCGAGAGTCTTGCTCGAGACCACACAGAGGAACCGTGCCGTGGGGCAGCCTGCGTGGTGGATTTCCACAGACCACCGTGGCGGGGTGGGGTCTGTGCTGAGGTTCTTCGTGACTCTTCAGGTTTCCACGGGAAGTGTGAGGTCCTGCTTTGTAAACTAGGGCCCGGCCCTTCTGCCTGCCGAGGCAGGGGCGGTCTGCACCTGTGTGACTGAAAACTGCTGCAGCAGGAGCCAAGGTGCCAGGAGCCAAGGTGCTGCAGGCCACCAGCGGGGTGGGCAGAGAGCTCAGCAGGACATGCAGCTAAGCGTGCCCTTGGCTCACTGTGAGCTTGTGATTGTGGATGAGAATTCTCGGCCACGGAGGGGGAGACGGTGTCCAGGTGAGGCAGCGCTGGGCATGGGGACAAGAGCACCCAGCACTCCCCAGCTTGGCTCCCTCCTCTTCCAGGGGAGGGAGGGGGTCCCCAGCTGAGACCCCAGTGAGCTCCCACCTGCACATGTGTCCCATGGAGACTTGACTTTTCCCGCATTTGCTGGTCAGTTACAAAGGATTTTATGGAGAGTACAGAGATTGAGATACATAGGGATTGAGATACATGAGGTGTGGAGGAGGGGCGAGGGACCCCTGTGCCCCCTGCATGATCAGCTGTCCCTGGGGGTTTTATGGAAGCCACATTACTTAGACACGATTTATTACATCACTGGCCATCGGAGACAAACTCAACCTTCAAGCCCCTCTCTGTGTCCCAGAGGTTGGTAAGTGAGACTGAAAGTCCCAACCCCTCTAATCCTGTCTTTTTTTTTTTTTTTTTTTTTGGTGAATAGTCCCCATCCTGAAGCCACCCAGGGTTTTGCCAGCTGTCGGTCAGTCATTATCATAGAAAGGCACTTGGCCCTTTGAAGAGTGCAGGAACTTTAGGAGTTGTGTGCCTGAGTGGGTCTCAGCCCCTATTGCACCACCCCTTGCTGGGGGGCGTGCTGCTGAAAGATGCATATTCAGCTGTGCCTCCATGTTCTTCTTTGGGGAAAGAAAGAAGTTTTGAGGCTGCTGCCGGCAGGAGTCAATGGCCCCTCTGTGGTCACTCCAGCTGTCTGCCGCCCCCAAGAGGAGCCACCCGCCTCACCGCATTTCCCTGACCAGTTGAATAGTGGCAGGGGCATGGAGAACACACTGACTAGTCCAGTGACATGGACTCAGTGGGGACTGAACACGGAGGGAAATTCAGCTAACAGTGCATGGCATGTGATTTGGCTTCATAGGTCAGCTGGGGCAGACATAGGTGGTGATACTGGCCCTAAAATTGAGGATGTGATTAGTAAAATTCATGATAAAGGCGTGTCTAGGCAGAACACAATGCCATCATTATAGAGGATAAATGAGGAACAGCCATGTGGCTGGCAGGGGGCGGGGGGGGGGGACTGGCTACGCTGGGGAGGTGTTCTGCCCAAGGCGATGCTGGCCATGAAACTGGCCGGCGACACAGGGGATGTGATGGGCTCTGGCTCCGTGCACATCTGCCAGACAACTGCCAGCTCCCTGCCCTCTGGAGTCATCCTCCAGGTCCCCCACCTTCCCCTCTGACATCTGCTCCACCTCCTGTGTGTCCAGAGTGACACCAATCCCGCCTTCTGTCTCCCTAGAAAATTAAGGAGATAACCTACATGCACTCGGAGGGCATCTTGGCTGGAGAGCTGAAGCACGGACCCCTGGCGCTCATTGACAAGCAGATGCCCGTCATCATGCTCATCATGAAGGACCCATGCTTCGCCAAGTGCCAGAATGCGCTGCAGCAGGTCACAGCCCGCCAGGTGAGCGCTGCCTGCTGGGCTGGGGCCCCTGCTCCCTTCCACACAGCACCTGCTGTGAGTGACCACACCCTCCCCCAGGCCCCTTGTGAGCAGTGTGCACATTGGGGAAGGGAGTGGCCGGCCTGCAGCTGCATCCTACAGCTTCTGGGTGAGACCCCACTGTCCACATTGCCCTGAGCTGCCCTGGATCCTGCCTGGACACCTGGGAGCTGCTCCTGTGCGACAGCCCTGAGGCTGCTGTAATGCAGTTTTTTTTTAAAGATTTATTTATTTATTTATTTATTTTAAAGTCAGAGATACATAGAGAGAGAAGGAGAGGCAGAGAGAGAGGTCTTCTATTTGCTGATTCACTCCCGAGTTGGCCGCGAAGGCTGGAGCTGTGCTGATCCGAAGCTAGGAGCCCGGAGCTTCTTCTGGGTCTCCCACATGGGTGCAGGGGCCCAAGAACTTAGGCCATCTTCTACTGCTTTCCCAGGCCATAGCAGAGAGTTGGATCAGAAGTGGAGCAGCCAGGAGTCAAACCGGTACCCATATGGGATGCCAGCACTGCAGGTGGGGCTTTACCTGCCAGGCCACAGCACCAGCCTTGGCCTTATACTTACTATTACAAGTGTACTATCAAGGGGCCAGCACCGCGGCTCACTAGGCTAATCCTCCGTCTGCAGTGCCGGCACACCGGGTTCTAGTCCTGGTCAGGGCGCCGGATTCTGTCCCAGTTGCTCCTCTTCCAGTCCAGCTCTCTGCTGTGACCTGGGAAGGCAGTGGAGGACCGCGTGGGAAGCCAGGAGGAAGCACCTGCCTCCTGGCTTCGGATTGGCGCAGCGCGCCAGCCGAGCAGCCATTTGGGGGGTGAACCAATGGAAAAGGAGGACCTTTCTCTCTGTCTCTCTCTCTCTCTCACTGTCTAACTCTGCCTGTCAAAAAGACCAAAAAAACAAAAAACAAGTGTACTATCAACGATACAATGAAAACCAGCCCAAAGAAGAGCCCCAAGGCACCCTCCCAGCCCACAATCTGTCTCACCAGGGAGCTGGCAGGGGCTTCCAGCTCTGGTGCCCAGCATTTCTGCTGGGGTTACATTAAGTAGGCATGGTTGACTGGATCACTGGCCATGTGATTGAGCTCTATCTCCAACCCATCTCCAGCTGGTCTTCCTGGCATAGCCAGCCCCATCCTGAACCTGTATCTGAGCCTGTCTTGGGTCACCTCGTTAGCATAAGCTCAGGGGCCCACCATGACTAACAGAGGCACCACAATCACTTGGGGAATTCTGAGGGCTGAGAAACTCCCATCTGTGAACTGGGGATAAAGTTTGGTCAGAAGCTTTGTCATCAACAGCTGCCCTGCGTGGGCAGGCAGAGTGGACGGTTCAAAGACTCAAAGCAGGGAGAAGTCCCGCAGGTGCTTCAGCTGGCTGCCGCCACGGTCGGCCCAGCACTGGCACGAAACACAGCCACATCATCTCCCTGCCGAGATTCCCCCAGCAGCTTCCCCTCCAACCACAGCGAGCCACAAGCCCACCTCATGTGGCCGCCTGCTACTGTCTCAAGGAGCTCCAGGCACCGCCATCTTCCTGTTCCCCACTCCTGCCGGCCTCCGTGCCTTTGCGCTGGAGGTTCCCTCTGCCTGCTCCACAGAGGGGCAGCTCCTCACTGAGGCCTTGTCCAGATGTTGCCTTTTTTTGAGAGGCTTTCCACACCTTGTATTGCGCTGGTGACATTCATCTGAAATCCATCTGTTCTCACTGGTTTGCTGGCTTTGAACTTTGGTTTCCATCACTAGATATGAGCCCCAGGGGAGGTTGGAGTGGGTCTGCCCTGCGCCTAGCAGTTGGGCACCGACTGCGGCCACCAGCTGGTGAGGAAGCAGCAGAGTGTCAGACATGGTGCCCCTTAGCCATGCTGCACATCACCACCCCTGTAATTCCAGCAAACACAGTCACCATGACCCTTCCAGTCCTGTTGATCCCGGAACCTCTGCCGTGTAGGATGGTTTGCGTCTCTCGGGCCATCTGTTTGACGAAGCTGCCTCTCTGCCTTAGGGCCGCCCGATCATCCTGTGCTCCAGGGACGACACGGAAAGCTCCAAGTTTGCCTATAAGACAATCGAGCTGCCCCACACGGTGGACTGCCTGCAGGGCATCCTCAGCGTGATCCCGCTGCAGCTGCTGTCCTTCCACCTGGCTGTGCTCCGAGGATACGACGTAGGTCAACACACCCCTTGCACAGCAAAGCGGTCCCTTTCTGTTCTTTAAAGACTAACTAGGAGTAAACAGTGGTAGGAGCCGTAACTTCATTTAAAGTATCTCTTTTAAGCTTTTGATGAGTTTCTTCATTACAAATAAGAAGCTGTGCAAATGGAAGGCAGAATTCCCCAAGATGAGCTTCTTGGATTTTTAAGAGGTGGAGAGACAGAGAAAGAAAAAGAGAGAGTGCTCCCATTCACTGATCCACTCCCCAGGACCCACGTTAGCTTGGGGACAGGTCAAGCCACAACCAGGAACTGGAAACTCAATCCAGGTCTCCCACCCGAGTGGCAGAGACCCACTTACTTGAGCCATCATTTGCTGCTCCCCAGAATCTGTATTAGCAAGAAGCTGGAGTCAGGAGTGAGCTGGGTCTTGAACCCTGGCACTTAGATGTGGGTAATGGGCATCTGCACTGCTGGGCCAGCTGCTCACCCCAAAGTAACATTCCTCTTTTTTTTAAAGATTTATTTACTTATTTTAAAGGCAGAGTCACAGACTCACAGAGAGAAGGGAAGGGGAGAGAGAGAGAGAGAGGTCTTCCATCCACTGGTTCACTCTCCAAGTAGCCACAACAGCTGGGGCATTTGAGCCAGGCAGAAGCTAGGAGCTTCATCTAGGTCACCCACATGAGTACAGGGGCCCAAATACTTGGGGCACCCTCCACTGATTTCCCAGGTGCATTAGCAGGGAGCTGGATCAGAAATGGAGCAGTCAAGACTCAAATCAGCACCCATCTGGGATGCCAGCACCTCAGGTGACAGCTTAACCCACTACACGACAATGCTGCCCCATATACAACATTTAATCATTGCATGATAGCTATCACAATCTTAGAACAACTTTTGTAAAAATTACTTAGCCAGTCTCCTATTAACTGAATTGTTTTCAATTTTTTTTCATAAATAACACTTCAGTGAAGATATTTGTACATATATCTTTGTCACACATTAAGCTTTGTTCTTAATCTAGCAAATGATTCAACATTCTGAGACATGTATTGGCAAGTTATGTTCCAGAAAAGAACTCATTTACAATTTCATCAGCATTGTGTATGAAGACATAATTCATTGTGCAAAGAAATGGAAGTTTTATTACAATTTTAGCTTAGAAGCTTTTAAAAATACATAACCATAAAATAATAATATAAACAGAATAACATAACAAAAAGCTGAATGTATGCTTCATCCAGAATTGATGTCTGCTAAAATTTTGTATTTTTGTTTCATCTTTTTTTTTTTTGTGTTTGACAGGCAGAGTGGACAGTGAGAGAGAGAGACAGAGAGAAAGGTCTTCCTTTGCCGTTGGTTCACCCTCCAATGGCTGCCGCGGCCAGCGCGCTGCGACCGGCGCACCGCACTGATCCGATGGCAGGAGCCAGGAGCCAAGTGCTTTTCCTGGTCTCCCATGGGGTGCAGGGCCCAAGCACCTGGGCCATCCTCCACTGCACTCCCTGGCCACAGCAGAGGGCTGGCCTGGAAGAGGGGCAACCGGGACAGAATCCGGCACCCCGACCGGGACTAGAACCCGGTGTGCCGGCGCCGCTAGGCGGAGGATTAGCCTAGTGAGCCGCGGCGCCGGCCTGTTTCATCTTTTTTTTAAGATTTATTGATTTTACTTGAAAGTCAGAGTTACACAGAGAGAGAAGAAGAGGCAGAAAAATAGAGAGAGAGGTCGGTCTTCCATCTGCTGGTTCACTCCCCAGTTGGCTGCAATGGCCAGAGCTGTGCCGATCCAAAGCCAGAAGCCAGGAGCTTTCTGCGGGTCTTCCCATGCTGGTGCAGGGGCCCAAGGACTGGGGCCATCTTCTACTGCTTTCCCAGGCCATAGCAGAAAGCTGGATTGGAAGTAGAGCAGCCGGGACTTGAACCGGTGCCCATACGGGATGCCGTCACTGCAGGCGGCTGCTTTACCCGCTACACCACAGCATTGGCCCCTGTTTAATCTTTTTTTTTTTTTTAACATAGAAATGAAATAAGCCATTGTATGTGGAGTAGAAGCCCACTTTAGCAATCATTCCCCCATTTCCTTCCAACTCCCACTCTACCCTAATGAGTCTCAATGAAATGCCAAGTGTGTAAGTGTTTAGCAGTACCAATGGAGCTGCTGGTTTTAAAAGCAGAAATCCTATTCTTTTAATAATATTAGCTCAGCATGTCACCTGCTAGGTGCACAGTGGCTGTTGATGGAAGGAGCTAACCCGCTCTCGGGCTAGGGGAAGGCTCTGGAGCAGGGAGGGTGCTTCCAGCTGCAAATCTCTAGGTGGCTCCTGGCTGGAGGTGACCAGGAACGTCTGACACCTCAGTGTAGTGACAGCAGCCACTCTCCTTCATTTCAGGTCGACTTCCCCAGGAACCTGGCCAAGTCTGTGACCGTGGAATGAGAACAAGAGCTGGACAAGACCTCGCCATCTTTAGTCTGATACAAGCCCTGTCCCGACAGCAGGGGAGCCACGTGGGAAGAGGAGTGGGCATTCCACGCGCGCTCCATAGAGCTTGACAGCTTCGATGTGCCTTGTACCCAAGTGCTTTTGCTTCCAGCAGATACTGTTTCTCTGTGTCCTGAAGTTGCCGGAGGAGAAGGGGATCGTTGTTTACACATGGGGATTAGAGCGGACCTTTCCCTTACTGTGCAATAGAGATACAACTCTCCTTAGAATAACTGTGAACCTTTTTAAACCAACACTAGTTAGTTTTAAAAGACAAAATATTTATAATGATGATTGTATAGCTCTTAAGTTATTTTTCTAGCACAGGGCTTTCTGTGGCCACGGTGACACCTGCATGCGTCTCTGGGCTCACCCCTGGCGGGTGGCACTCATCTCAGATTTGAGCACAAGGCATTGGCCCTTGGGACTCTCCTTTTCCTTCCTCCCTGGGCTGCTCCAGCATCCCATTCCAACATCAGTGAGGCCCCCCTGCCATCTCCTGTGCCTCCTGTTTGTCCAGTTGAAATCTCGCTTCTTTCAGCCTTTTCTTCTTGGTCATAGTCCAGCTCTCCAACTTCTGTTTGATCCGATCTTCCTTCCTGTTAAGCCCAGCCCTGCTCCCCTCCCTGCCCATAGGAAAACAGCTTGTATCCCATTCAAGAGGGTAGCTTTACGTGGGGCTACCTTGCTCTCTAAAAGCGTGCACAATCAGAGTACTATGCAATTTTAAGACAATAAAGACAGTACAACTTTTTTTTTGTCTTGTGTGTTGGATTTTGTTATCCTCACCCTGTGTGCCTGGGATGCTGAAGACCCTGCAGGAGCTGGGCAGTGTGTGGTGGGAACAGCCTTGCTTGTCAGGGTGGTGGTTGGGCCATGGTTGGAGGGCACTTCTCAAGGGTTCCTGGGGTAAAATTCTATCCCACAGTGAGGCACTGAAGAGGGTGGAAGCTTGTCTGACTCTGAGGTGGGGCTTTGCAGGTGGTTTGGGGGAAGGTTATCGATTGGATGCTGGTGGCGTTATAAGGAGAAGGAGAGAGAAGACACGCACATGCATACATGCGTGTCTGTGTATTACCTCTGAGTCTTGCATATGATGCCCTGTGCTGCCTCATTACTTGCTGGCAAAGAGGTCACCATCACATGGGGCCCCTCAACCTTAGACCTGCAGAACTGGGAGCTAAATCAACTTCTTTTCTTTATAAAGTTACCTAGTCTCCAGTAGTTTGCTATAGCAATATGAAACAGACTACCGCAGTTTGTAACCACTGGTCTTGGCCTTATGCCTAGGACCTGTGTGCTTCTGGGGTGAAAACGAAAGGTGTTTTACAGGATATAGCAAAACACAGGAGACCTGGAACTCTGAGCCGAGGTTCCACTGACCCTTGGATAGGCTGGGCCTTAAACACAGTGCTGCTTGGGATGGTGGCCAGGACACTGGAGACAGAGACCAGGGGTGAAGTTCTCCAATCTGCACTTGTTTCCCCAGTGAGCCTCTCACTAGGCTGATATTAGTGCAATCAGGCAGGAAGACAGAAAGCCAGAGACAGCTCTGGAGGCCTGAACAGTTGCATGTAGGCTCCCTGGGTGAGTGCCCTCACACTCAGTGTGGACGACACCTACGTGGAGGGCTCAGAGCCCAGCCAGCCTTTGCTGTGGGTTCTGCTGGCTCCTCAGCAACTCTTCCAGCCTCGGCTATGCTCGCCGTTGGTGCTGGAGACATGGGAACTGCAATTCTAGGTTCAATTCCACCAGTGAGAGGCACTCATGGGACATCTGGAAAGAGTGAAGGAACAGAAATCACAGATAGTCCCGAACTGACTTAGGATGTTTAAAATTTATACCGGTGCAAACAGTATACACATTCAGCAGAAACTGTATAATACTTAAAGAGTTGTTTCATCCTTAAGTATGGTACTCAATAAATTACATGATAGTCAACACCTTGTGTTGGATGATTTTGCACAACTATAGGCTAATGTGTTCTGAGCATGTTTAAGGCAAGCTAGGCTAGGCTAGGCTATGATGTTAGGTGGATTAAATATTTTCTTGTTTAAAAAAATATTTATGGGGCTGGCACTGTGGCACAGTGGGTTAATGCCCTGGCCTGAAGCACTGGCATTCCATATGGGCACCGGTTTGAGACCTGGCTGTTCCACTTCCAACCCAGCTCTCTGCTATGGCCTGGGAAAGCAGTAGAAGATGGCCCAAGTCCTTGGGCCCCTGCACCCACATGGGAGACCTGGAAGAAGCTCCTGGCTTCAAATCGGCATAGCTCCAGCTGTTGTGGCCAACTGGGGAGTGAACCATCGGATAGACAACCTCTCTCTCTGCCTCTCCTTCTCTCTGTGTAACTCTTTCAAATAAATAAATCTTTTTTAAAAAAGTATTTATTTATTAAAAAGAGAAGAAGCGAGAGTCTATCCACTGGTTCACTCCTCAAATGCCCTCAAAAGCCAAGGCTGGACTAGGGCTGAAGGCAGGAACAAGTCCTTGAGCTATCATTTGATGTCTCCCAGGCACATTAGCAGAGAGCTGGACCAGCAGAGGCAGCTCTAAATCCAAGGCACTTTAATATGGGATGATGCAAGAGTCCTAAGTGGTGGTGGTTTAACCCACTGCACCACAACTCCTGCCCCTGGATTAAATGCAGGGTTTTTTTTGTTTTTGTTTTTTAAAGATTTAAGAGTTACAGAGAGGCAGAGAGAGAGAGAGAGAGAGAGAAAGAGAGAGAGAGAGATCCTCCATCCACTGGTTCACTCCCCAGATGGCTGCATCAGCCAGAGCTGGGCTGATCTGAAGGCAGGAACCTGGAGCTTCTTCTGGGTCTCCCACATGGGTGCAGGGGCCCAAGCACTTGGGCCATCTTCTACTGCTTTCCCAGGCCATAGCAGAGAGTGCGACTGAAGTAGAACGGCCAGGACTAGAACTGGCACCCATATGGGATGCCAGCACAGTAGACGGCAGCTTTATCCACTACACCACAGCACCAACCCCTAAATGCACTTTCTACTTAGGATAGTTTCAACTTAGGGTGGATTTACCCAGACTTATCCCATTGCAAACTGAGGAGCATGTATATTTGTTCCTCTTCTGACAGAGGCAAATAGAAATGCTGCTTCAGGGGCCAGTGTTACAGCACAGCAGGTTAAGCCACTGCGTATGATGTCGGCATCCCATATGAGCACTGGTTTGAGTCCTGGCTGCTCTACTTACTATCCAGCTCCCTGCCAAAGCACCTGAGAAAGCAGGTGGGCCATGTCCTTGGATCCCTGCCACCCATGTGGGAGACCTAGATGAAATTCCAGGCTCCTGGCTTTGACCTGGCCCAGCCCTGGCTGTTGCAGCCATTTGGGGAATGAACCACGGGAATCAGGGGATGGAAGGGATCTCTGGCTCTCCATCTCTCTCAGTACCTCTGCCTTTCAAATAAAAAAATCTTAAAAACAAAAGAACAAATGTAGGTCCAACTGACAGGAGGTTCTACTATGGCCCTTTGGTACTCCCAGCAGCAATGGATGGAGATGAACAGATTTCCTGTGGCTCCTCCAAATCCAGCTCAGGAGAACCAGTGGGAACCGGAAGCCACGGCAGCACTCCCAGACCTCCATCCTTAGCGCACCTAACAAATTAATGAGGGACTCCTGCCAGAATCCCTCTTCCTAAGCAAAGCACAGCTGATACAACGACTGAGATGTTTGATCTGGGTGAGATCTAGAAAATGTGTCATCCTCACGTCCAGGAGGCAGTGGCCATCCTGACTTTTGTGCTCATAGTTCTCTTGCTTTTCCTCAGTGTTCCACCTCTGTCACCCAGGCATCGATTCAACCAACCACGGATCAAAAATATTGGAGGGGGGGCAGTGTTATGGCATAGCTGGCTAAGCCACCACCTGTGTTGCCAGCATCCCATGTGGGCACCTGTTCAAGTCCTTGCTGCTTCACTTCCAATCTGGCTTCCTGCTGATGTGTCTGGGAAAGCAGTAGAAGATGGCCCAAGTCCTTGGGCCCCTGCACCCACGTGGGAGACCTGGAGGAAGCTCCAGGCTCCCGGTTTCAGCCTAGCCCAGTGCTGCCCTCTGCTGACTCACTGGTGGGTGTTTGTCCTCTGTTTTCAGAACTAGGCCATCCCATTGTCCCTTGGTAGAGGAGCCCGCAAATGTCAAAACCTACAAATGCTCAAGTCGCTTCTGTAAAACAGGATGCTATCTGCAGAGAACCCAGGCACACCCTCCTGTGTACTTTCAATCATTTCTAGATTTGTTGTAATACCTAATGCAACATGTACATATCACATATTTGAGTGGGTTGAGCACAGGTGTACTCCTTGTCTGGCAAATTCAAGTTTTGCCTTTTGTAATTTTTGGAATTAAAAAGAATATTTTTTAAAGATTTATTTTATTTGAAAGTCCCAGTTACAGAGACAGAGAGAGAAAGAGACCTTCCATTCACTGGTTCACTCCCCAAATGGCCACAATGGTCATGACTGGGCTAGGCTGAAACCAGGAGCCTCGCATGGGAGACCTGGAGGAAGCTCCTGGCTCCTGGCTTCAGATCAGCTCCCCTCCGGTCACTGCAGCCATTTGAGAAGCGAACCAGTGGATGGAAGACTTCTCTCTCTGCCTCTCCTTCTCTGTGTAATTCTTTCAAATAAATAAATCTTTTTTAAAAAATGAAATACATCAACAAGTGCTCTGGGTTAAACCAGAGCTGTCGGAGAGCTGAGTCCTTGTGCCACAAATCAGCAGTGCCAGTTCACCCTCAGGCCCACAACTCTCCAGTCCGCTTGCCCCATCGCCAGCAAGACCAGGTGACAGGTTCCTGAACATAGCACATGGCTCCTCATTGCTCAGCCTCGGGGCCCAAGTGCCCTCTCTGCCTGCCCAGCCTCTGCAGGGGCTTCCTCCTGTCTGGAAGTTCTGCTGCTGCCCCTGCTTCTCCCTGGCTGGCAGGTACGACTGGTGTCAGTCACACACATGAGTCCTGCCTGGCTCATATCACGCTTGCAGGCCTCAATCAGGATTCTCTGTGCCAGACCAGCTGCCCTGTCCCACGTCCCCCCAGCTCTGTGTCCACAAATGTCTACTGTGTTGGACAAACCAGGAATAACCAGAATTCTTACAGAAACCTCAGTGACATATGCCTAATTGCATAAGCACAGACAGCAAACTTAGGTTACTTACCGTGCACCGGGTGACTGCTAAAAACCAGGCCCAAGTGCCTCTGGAAATCCACTGTCTCTTCCCAGCCTGGGGGGATGTGTCTATGCACATTTGCTCCTTGTTGGGACCTCATCTCTGATAGCCCGGCTTTTACTAGTTTCTCATCTTTTTCAGTAACGGCAATTTTAGGTTCCCTGTTTTCTCCTGAGCAGCTAGCTGAGGCAGGTGGCAGGAGCCCACCAGATGGGTCCATTTCAATGCAGACCACGTTCAGGAGCCGGGATTAGTGATACTCAATTTTAGAAAACTCCCCCTGGCGGCCATGGGAGGACACCACGGCTAGATCCCGTTCTCTGCCCCACCCCTCCTCTGAGGCCGTGGTGCCTGCACGAGCCCGGCCCTTCAGAACCTGGGTCACAGGCTCGCTTCTCTCCCCAGATTCTGCAACACTCCACCCCAGACCTGCAGGGTCCTGCTACTCCCCCTGCTCTGTGGACCTCGGCGTCCCGGGACTGCTGCCCCAGCTCCTTACTCACCACTTATCAATCACGGTCCCCAACTCTATCGGTGCCCGAAATCCGACGCCCCTAGCC